CACGTGATGGAATAGAACACCATCTCAATACACACGCAATGGGACAGAAGACCACCTCAATACACATGTAATGGAACAGAATACCACCTCAATACACACGTAATGGAACAGAAGACAACCTCAATACACCGGAATGCGGCAGAAGACCACCTCAATACACACGGTAATGGGAACAGAAGATCACCGCAATACACACGTGATGGGAATAGAAGACCATCTCAATACACACGCAATGGGACAGAAGACCACCTCAATACACACGTAATGGAACAGAAGACAACCTCAATACACACGTAATGGAATAGAAGACCACCCCAATACACACGTAATGGAACAGAAGACCACCTCAATACACGTAATGGGACAGAAGACCACCTCAATACACCTGTAATGGGACAGAAGACCACCTCAATACACACGTAATGGAACAGAAGACCACCTCAATACACACGTAATCGAACAGAAAACCACCTCAATACACGTAATCGAACAGAAGACCACCTCAATACACCCGTAATTGGACAGGAGACCACCTAAATACACACGTAATGGAACAGAAGACCACCTCAATACACACGTAATGGAACAGAAAACCACCTCAATACACGTAATGGGACAGAAGACCACCTCAATACACACGTGATGGAATAGAAGACCACCTCAATACACACGTGATGGAACAGAAGACCACCTCAATACACACGTGATGGAACAGAAGACCACCTCAATACACACGTGATGGAACAGAAGACCACCTCAATACACACGTAATGGGACAGAAGACCACCTCAATACACACGTAATGGAACAGAAGACCACCTCAATACACACGTAATGGAACAGAAGACCACCTCAATACACACGTAATGGAACAGAAGACCACCTCAATACACGTAATGGAACAGAAGACCACCTCAATACACCCGTAATGGGACAGAGGACAACCTCAATACACGTAATGGAACAGAAGACCACTCAAATACACACGTAATGGAACAGAAGACCACCTCAATACATGTACACACGTTATGGGAAAGAACGCCCATCTCAATACACACGTGATGGGACAGACGACCATCTCAATACACACGTGATGGGACAGAAGACCACCTCAATACACACGTAATGGGTCTGAAGACCACCTCAATACACACGTAATGGGTCGGAAGCCCACCTCAGTACACAAGTAATGAAACAGAAGACCACCTCAATACACACGTAATGGGACAGAAGACCACCTCAATACACAC